CCTTGTCCAGGTGATAGGTCACCTGGTCCTAGAAGGAAATGAGATTGGTCAAGCAAGACCTACCCACAACAAACCCGTGCTGGCTATCTCTTAGGATATTGGCGTCTGCCAGTCCATTAAGGATGGACTCTTTAATAAACTTTTGTAAGATCGTCCCCAGGACAGAAGTCAGGCTGATGGGCCTAAAGTTAGCCGGATCCACTTTCTTCCCTTTCTTGAAGATAGGCACCACACTGGCCTTCTTCCAGTCTTTGGGCACTACATCAGAGCGCCAGAAGTTTTAAAAGATCTGTGCCAGGGGCTGGGCTATGATGCTCAGCATCTCCTTGAGTACTCTGGGGTGTAGATTGTCAGGGCCAGCTGACTTAAAGGTATCTAGCTTCTCAAGGTGTTCCTTCATGAGGTCAGCATTAATGGAGGGCAGGGGATCTCCCTCACCCAGACCGTAGCGGGCATGGATGTCCCATGGGACTGATGAAAGACTGATGCAAAGTACCCATTTAATAGGTTGTTTTTTTCCTGGGCGTCAGTTCTCAGTTGCCCCATCTGGTTCAGCAGGGGTCCATTGTTGCTCTTGCTTTTCCTCCGGCATTGTCCTTGATGCCAGCTGGATAGCTTCAGCTAGATAGCTCCATCTAGTGAGTCGGGTGGTGGTGACCCCATAATACCGCACAGCACCTGTGGGAGTCATCACCAGGGCACACAGGTCAGCAGGGGCTGGGAGAGGGTGGCACAGCAGGCATGGCTGAAGCCTCCTACAGGGAGAAGCCAGCACAGGACCCTGTTAACTGCATGCACCCTCAGCAAGTGTGTACAGAACCAGAAGGCCCCAGCAGGGAACTTGCAGAGCTGTGAGCAGATGGTGGGCACAGAGGGATGTGCCCAGTGACAATATAGTATGGTCCCAGAAGCAGGCTCAGAAGAAGGGCATCCCTAAGTGGATCATCTGTGGGAAATGGGTCCTTGGGGCACTGCCCAACCCCACATGCTGAAAAAGTGCTCGGTGTGGGAACATCATTGCCCTGCCAAGCACCACACCTGAGTTGTTTTAGGTTGATTTCTTGATTTGTTGTAAGTTTTACAAACTCTGTAGGGTCACTGCCAGACCTCCTTCAGCCATCCCTGGTGCTGGGCCTCAGCACAGGAGGGAAGGACCCTGTCGGCACATCAGCCAAGCTGATCTGAACACCTGAGTGGAAAGGGGTGGGGTGTAGGGGAGGAGGAGCCCCACAGAAAACACATCAGCAGAGTCACCCAGGCACAGAAGAACTACTGAACATCACTTCAAGGTACACTTCACTGTACAAGCCATGGTGGATGAGTAGCCTCAGCATGACATAGTGAAAACACACCCCAGTTGAGGAGCTCTCAGTCACAGGGGTGCCTTATGCACTCCCACGGTTGGAGGATTAGCACTGTGGCAGTCTCCTTGCCCCAGAGGTGTGGGAAACCTTCAGCGTCAAAGGTTCACTGCAGGGCTGATCCCCCTCACCTGGGGGTGTGGGGAAACCCCTAGGGCCAAAGGATCACAGCAATCCTCTGACCCTTGGGGTTTCCCACACTCCTGAACCCTAGGGATTGCAGCTGGCATGACCCCCATGGCATGGGGGTGTGGGAAAACCCCAGACCCTAGGGATCATGGCTCACATGAACCCTGGTGCTTGGGGGTCACAGCTACCATGATTCCCTAGGGCTCAGGGGTTTTACACTGGGTATGGTGCACCCCTGTGGATGGGAGCCCCGTCACAGGGCAAATCCTGCTACACATACAAATTAAAGCTCAGTACCAACCAGCTATAGAGTTAGTTTGTATTTTCAAGGTCTAACTTTATAACTGATTGGACCTTTTTATTGTGTGATAGCTCCTTTGCACGTGTAGCTGCTCTGCACATAATTGTGCAATTAACCAGTTAATTGCACAACGTCTGCAATGTGTAGAGGAGACCTGAGTTCTAGCAATAAAATCCAGCAGCTTTTTCAAACAGACCACTGAAAAAAAACTGGTATTTCTCAAATCATAATCAAACAGTAAGTTCTGTGTATAATGCAAGTTGTTATACCTAGCAACTGAGTTTGTTGTTTCTGTATCTTCTCCAGTTCTCCTTGTAATTCATTCTTTGTCTTCTCTTCCAAAGCCCGTATTTCCAACCTGTGAGACTGGTCATGGATCTTGATACTGTTATTATATTCCCTTTTCAAACGTTCTTCTATTTCCTTCAGGCAAGAAACATAGGTGAACGAACAAATTCACAATTTATTTCCCTTTTAATGTCAGAGTGAACTAGGACCTTCAGATGTACAATACACTCCATATTTATATTTCATTAATACAAGAACAGCATAAGATAAATAAAACCAAGAAGCAAAGGGGAAGTCTTCCAGACATCTTATCACATAATTTGAGGTTTTTAGCATATAAGCTGTCAAAATGTGAAATTTGTGTACTATTGGTATTAGAAAGATAATCCTTGATCAGCTTGTAATAAAGCCTCAGATTTTACCTACACAAACTTGTGAAAGTCAGGGGAAAGGCTCCTATTCATTTTAATGGAATTTGAATCCATCCTGTCATTGGCTATTAGTACATATTAAACAAATCCTGCAGTCCTTACTTGGCCTGTACTTGGACAATGCTCCCATTGTCAACCTAAATCTTGACAAAATGTACACAACAGGGTATGGCTGCATTTGATATAGATGCTATGAAGGACAAAAGATGTCCTGGATAACAACTGTGCAGTCTCACTGACTTCAGTGTGGTTTCACAATGGTAGACACATGCAAACTGTGGTTCTGAATTTAAAAACAGGTGTTCTGAGTTAAATTCCTTCTAGGATTGTTGTATCATATACACTGAAAAAGATCTTTTACTTTATTCATGTTTCATATTCAATATGGACATGGACTTGGACATTTGAATTCACAGTTACAATCACATGTATGTTTTTCAATTTTGTTTTTTCTAACAGTAACTTCCTTCAAAACAATACATAGTAAGAATCTCAATTTATCACATTACCATTTTTTTTCAATGGAGTAAATCTGCTTAAGCATTTAAAACCTTTAGCTAATCACTAACAAAATTATTTCTCACAAATATTCTACCTAGGGCTGTTCAGCTGGCTGCCTGTAGGCCTCTGCAGCTGCCTCTTTGACTGCTGTATAGTAGGGGAGGGTTTGGGGAGGGAGGTTGCAGACCACTGTTGCTGCCCGCATAGTGAAGATGTGAGAGCTGTATGCTGCCTCTGCTGCCCATATGGTAGGATGCAGAGGGGAATCCTGGGGCCATCATGCAGTCTATGGCCAACATGATGTGCTGAAGTGAACAGCCCTGCTTTAACCTAAACATATTTGTAGCAGTCTATTATGCTTGATCTAGCTTATCCTGCATACAAATGAACAATGCAAGAACATAGCATAAGGCAGAGTCTGACTAAAAATATATTTAAAAAAATGAATTTTGAAATGTACTCTTATTTTTTAAGCCAAACTCAGGTAAATATTTTTAAAATATTCTATGATGTCATTGTATTTAAGTCTGAAACAAATAAGGGAGCGGGGCGACTCACCAATAAAAGCCTACCTTGAGTTCCTGATTCTTGTTTTTTTCTAGTTTTTTTAAGGCTCTCTGATTTGATGCCTCCAGTTGCACTTTAACATTCTGACTTTGTTTAATGATGTCTTGAAGATCCTGTAAAAGCTTCTCTTTTTCTTTGTTGGACTGTAAATTGTGCTTCTGCAGAGCATCTTTGAAGTTATGTGCCTGTTGGTCTAATGCTTGTTTCAGCTGAGCAACCTTCAAGAACAGAAGGCTATTAGGATGTGGCTAACTACCATGGCTTGCTGCTGAGCATCAACAAGACTCTTTTAGAAAAATGTCATTTAAATGTTACTGCATTTTCTGAAATATATGATGCTCCATGAAAAATCATCCCTGCAGAACAGCTGCTCTTTCTTTCAGTGATGACTGGAACTGGGCAGAATTCTTCAGACAAATAAATAATTTATTTGCCAAAAAATGCCATTTCAGGTCAACTAAAACTATTAATGAAATCAGGGTGAATTCAGGTAAAAATTGGAAACAAAATGGTTCACTTAAATACTTTGAATTGAAATATTTCAGTTTTTGGTTTCAAATAGTTTCATTTCACATATAATTTAATTTTTAAAATGGTTAAAATAATCCCCAGAAAATGAAATATTTCTTTTTGTTTTGGTTAGGATCAACCAGATAATTTTTTCTAATGTTTTGGTTTGATTTTTAAAAATCCATTATTTGTACTGCTCTAAAGATGACCTTTCCAGTTTACCTAGCTTTAAATTTGACATCAGCTGGATGAATGGTTGCTGCTACATAATTAATTATCTGAGGAGAAAAGTGTTCAACTGGAGTAAAATTGATCAATTCTTAGCACTTTGATAGGGATGCAAATGCCCTCCAGAAATACAGTTTTCCCTTTTTAAACACACTGTCTAGCAGCTAGATCCCATCAAGTAATTCATTAAAAAAAACAGACATAAAATATGCTATCTTTCCAAATCACTTCCTGCTGAATGTCTGAAGCCTATTTTTCTGGTTATATGGCAATGTAGAGCACAAGTCAGAGAGCAGGTTTGAAACAATGGATACTGTGGTATTTGAGTTGTGACGTTAAAGGACAGACACACACACTGGTTAAATGCAGTTTAAACCTGAAGCAGACAGATGTATAAGCCTGTTAAACTCGTTTAAATCCACTTTGAATGGTTTGTACTTGAAAATCATGAAGTACTGTTTTGAACTAATTCACTATGAACTAGTTCAGTGGTACATGAGGACACCAAGTATTCTGTGCCAAGGGTCCAATCAGTCCTCCAGGCATCCCACACTGCATTGCTTCTCCCCTCCCCCCAGATATATACACACTGCTGCAACTGACTGCTCTGGTATGTAGCCAGCACTCTACCACCTCCCCTTTTCTCCCTTTTGTTGGCATTTCTTAATCAATGAACTCCTTTGCACCAATTGTTCAATAAAAGCTATCTTTCTCACAGCCAGCTGGGTCCTTACTCCCTCCTTGACTGTGCCCCCTTATTATGGTTCCTAACCCCCAGAAACCAAACACTTCTCCCCTAACCCCCAAGTCAGGCAAGCACACAGCAGACTTCAGTTATTTGCAGGCTATTGAAGATTACTGAGCTCACATTTAGGAAACAAGGGAAAGCAGAAAAATGAGAATGACCCCAGGCACAGGTTACCCAACCCCCTGGGATCCCCAAGTGCATGCAAGCACTCCTTCCCCACTCACCCACTATGAGCATGCTGGGCTGGGTGCTCATTCCCTCCCCACTCTGTTGTTGGGCACTTCTCACAGTTGTAAACTGGTTCCCAATCAGTGACATTCTGGAATGGTTCAATGTTATATGTGTCAAGACCCAAAGGGTCCATTTACAAAATGGAAGAGAAAGAGTTTAATGAATAACTCTAATTAATGATAATGGTAGTCCTGGGCATCATACCCCACAATGCTATGTTTTGTGGTTTTCTTCTCTCAACCAAACAAATAGGAAGATAAGTCTCAGCTATAAGACTCACTTAGTACTCCCTTTAGGGTCAAGAGGAGGAAATGGAGCCATTTTCTTTTTGCCTGCTTTTTTCCAAATAACCAGTATCAGACTGCTCCTACAAACTATTGTACCAACATTCACTGTTGCAGGTGCCTCATGAGTGCACACAGCCTGCAATGTCAAGAAAGGTTTGATGCCATACCTGAGCCTCTAAGTCTGCTTTGTGGTTGTGCCATTCCTCCTGCAAAGGCTTGACATGCTTTGTCTTTTCTTTTTGTAAAGGAACAGAAGCAGATTGTCTATCTTCCTTTTTTGATACACTTGTGCTTTCCAGCCTGAAGGGAAAAGAGCCAAAACTGTACAAGGGAGAGATCAGCACACCTACAAAACCAATCTCTCAGCTGGAGAAACACAATGAGCTACTCAGAGTCCATTTTCTACTTCTGGCACTCGTTCATATGGGCACTCAACAAAAAGAACTGGCAAAGTGTGATGTGCAAAATCTCAGTTTGCACATTCCAGGCACACGTTTTCACAGGGGTGAATGTTCCCCCTCAATCTGATTAGTCCTTTGCCAAAGGGCCAAGCATCCTGACTCTACTCCTTCAGGGGCTGAGCAGTCTCTTTTTCTTCTCTCAGAAGCAGAGAGGTAGTTAGCTGTATTGATCTGTCATCAGACAGAAGGCAGGGCAGGTTGGTACCACAGGATGTTTTTACACGTGCTGCAAGGATGGGCAGGTGTGGTTTAATTAGAGCAGCTCCAAGAGCTGTTTTAATCAGAGCGGCTCTTAGAGCCGCTTTAATTACAGTGCTCCTACCCATCCTCGGAATGTGTAAAAACATCCTAAGGTGCCACCCTGCCTCCAAGAGCCGCTCTAACTAAAGTGCCTGCAGAACCTTGTGTATCAGCCTCCCTGCACTTCAGAATGGCAGTGGGGGGTCTTTAACTAAAGCTCGTTGAATGCACCCCCACTGCCATTTTCAAGCTAGAGGAAACTGATACATAATATACAAAGACTGCTGGAGGCATGCTAATTAGCACACTGACATGCTGTAATTACAGCACATTTGAGCAGCCTCACTGCATGTATACAGGCACCCTTAGAAACTAAATGGTTCAGAAGTGCATAAACTTTTATTAGGGGTGCATTAGCTTTCAGTGACTACATACAGCCTGCTTCTTCGGATGCTAGTCTCTATAAGGTACCATCTGCCTTGCCTTCTCTCTGAGGGTTAAGGTGGTATCTTTCCATTCCAAGACACTTTGCAGCCCTTCTCCTAGTACTAAATATACCCTTATCCTCCATAAGTTCATCCCATTCCCCTTTTCCAAGTTCTGAATGGTATTAGCTGACTACCAGCTCCTAGTGTGTTAGGATACTCCTTGCTATTATCTCTATTAGCATATTCCAAGTAATACTTAAACTCCATATGACTTTATAACTGGACTCCTCTGTACCTTGGCTTTTCTTCACTTTTGATCCTCATTTGTGCTTTTGGGGTCTCCTGGCATCTGCCCCTCTCTCTCTGCAATTTAGATATGTCTTTATGCTGCACAGATGGACTCTAGGATTAGAAGACAAAGGCAATTAGGAAGTTTGCTGCTGGAGATGCATGTAGTTTAATCAAAGAACTTCATTTCTTAATTTTGTTTCAGTATGCTATTTTTAATACTTTTCTTCTATATTTTCAACCAAAGGACCTATTGGAACTTCACATATAAATCAGCAGATGCTTGTATTGGGTTTTGTATGCTCTTTACTGCTTTGAACAAATTCATTGTGTCCAGGCAAAATTAAAGGGAAAAATAACTTGTTCCTATGTACATCATTTTCACATAAGGCATATAAGTAATGAATTTAGCTTGGCACAGAATTTGTGGTACTGGGGACCAAACTCAGGATCTGCTGATAAAAACAATAAAGGTACCACAATCTCTTTCTTAGCCATATATGACTTATATACTTTCTGTAGGTCAGGTCCAAGGGTGGATGCCGATTATTTATGCTTAAGCAGATTTGACATTCCATTTTGTTCATGGCTACAACAGAGGTGCTCATATACCCTCCTTAGTATGCTATACTCCTCCCACTTAGACAAAGTTTGTCCTTGAGTTTCAAATTCACCAGCGGCCAGTGTTCAAAATAATCTGTCATTACCTGATACACCAGTTGGTTCTCTGTTCCTGTGAACGTCAGGTATTCAAGAATGAAGTATAACAGGGCAATACTGAGTAAGACTGCCTAATGTAAGGGATAGTGTAAAGCTGTACCACTGCCACTGCTAAATAGATCAGCTCTGATACTGTATTTGTATTTATGAATCCTCACCACTTCCTGGTTGGCTAATGAAGGACTGAGACCCTCAGAATACTACAACTAATGAGTTCTCCTTTACTCAAGCAATAGTTGTCTCTGTTTTGGACTGCAAAGTTCCTCAGTTTCATTGCTGATGTTTCATGTGGACAGTTTAGTTGATGAACGTGAGGTCTGCAGATCCTTTACAGTGTTTCTATATGAGACATGCTAGATATATGCTTTGCTAAAAAACTTTGCATCAGGCCTGCCTAGTCGGAGAGTGGGAATAAGGGATTTTCAGTGCAGTGGCGAAAAGAAATATAGCAATACTAAAATTTGAATCAAATCAACCAGAAAAAAATGTTATATATATAATTTTCAACATCACAATGGAAAACTGAAGAACTGTTTCAGGTTGATTTAACAACTTTGGAAATGTCAAAACAAACTTCAACATTTCCAAAATATTTTGTTGTGGGGCATTTGTAATAAAAGGTAAAGAAAGGATGGGCTGGATTCACAAAATACACAGAAAGGAAGAGGAGGAGGGGGTGCTGGCAGCACCCCCTTGTATAAAGTACATAAAAATTCAGATTGTGTGAGAGAGAAAGAGAATGATTCTGTAGCCTGGTAGTAGCGACAGTCACTTGCAAGTTTCAGTCCCTGTTCCAATAAATAATGTGTATATTTTATATAAGGTAAAGCAGCATTAATAGGAGAGACTGACAATAGCTCACTCCACATGGTAGGTATGGCATTCCCTAGGAGGCTGGAAAGTGGGTTCAGATCTTTTCAAGCAGAGTTGGGAAGTGAGCCCATATCCCCTGTTCCCAGAGGGAATGCTCCAAGCACAGGATTAGTGGCTTCCTTTTCCCCATGGCCTTTGGTATAAGTGCCAAAAACTAAAATGTTGCAGATAATCAGAAACCATTCATTTTGACACTTTCCAAACAGATTATTTGAATCGAAACAAGCTGTTTTAATGCTTCTGATTTTTTTTTGCCTTTGACTGAAGTGATTCATCAAAATTGACCCAAATCAGTGAAAAATGTCAGCTGCCCAAAAACAACATATTCAGTGAACAAACAACACGCTGACAAAATTTCACTTAGCTCTACTGCCAAGATAAGAGTTAAGGATCAAAAGCTTTTATAATAGGAAAACCAAGATAACTCTGGTGAATCAGACATCCTTGTTGCAGGTGAAACCTGAATTAACAAGTTTCTATGTCTGCTAGTGGTGTGATTGGCCAGCTAAGGGGCCGGCAGTGGAATTCAACTTTTCACTTAATCTACTCAAATCAATAGCAACAGAAAATTACAATCTGGCAGCTCTCACAAGTGATCTTTATAAAGCAAATTGACAGTCTCAGCCCAATTTCTATAGGGCAGAAATACACACCTCAAACTAGCTTCATCAAAACTAATTCCTTAATCCACCGAGAACCTGAACTATTTCTATGACCTACTGTCATTATTCACACATGGCAAGCAAGAAAAACTGCATATACAGTAAAAAAATCCCCCTTCTTTGTGAGGAATAAACATTGAGCATTCTGTTACTATCAGACACATTTAGTGCCATCTACTGGCCAAGTTATATGAAGTTATTTTTTAGAGGAACATGACTAGCTGAGAGGAATAAGCTTTTAGTTTTGTTTGTCCTAATGTCTTAAATAGCAATTAAGCTGAAATGTAGATCTAATAAATAGATCCAGGTGTCCTTTTCTACATAGCAGTAAAAACATGTACAATCCTGACTAGATGGAATGCAGTTAAAAGTCCTCCTCCAGGTGTTGTTGGTGGCGATACCTCACTGTCGAGTGTGATCACTCCCAGGGGAGTGATCCCTCCCCCAGTACAAGTAACTTGGTATTGAAAAGTCTGAAGCCTAGGAAAAGTATCTGCTTTTCAGACTAACTGCAAGCCCTCTGAACATGCTAGTCACACAGGCAGCAGGAGATCCCTGCACACAGTTCTGCTAGTCTTTATTCATGTGACTAGTCTTCACTTACTTGTGTAGTCCAATTAGTGTCAAAGGCACTACCTGAAGAATAAAAGCTTCATATGTATGTAAATGTATGAAGGATCAGGCTGCTTTATTCATATTCTTAATTAAAAATGGGCTGATTTTTAACATCTTTTTGTAATATTCTAAGGGACTGATTACCTTGACTAAAAATACTCCCAGTGTGGGAAGATGCTGGACAAGCTCCTTTTACCCACTATCATTTCTAACGCAGATGTTATTTTAGGTATTCCTAAGAGAAATGGCTCATTATATCCAACTTTGTGATTGAGGCCAATGGCTACTTGGGCCTAAGATAATATGAATACATTTATTTTGTCTTATGCCTATTGAGTTCAGCCATTTCATCATGTGTAATGGAAAGAAAGCACTTCCTAACATTTTAGATATTGCAATTCTTAATAAAGCAAGCTTTCAAAATAATATACCAGTAGTCAATGGTATATGATCTCTCCTGTATCTGATGGCATAATGCACACTAACATTAATGTACTCCTGAGTGCATTTCTTATTTGAGCTCAAATAACACTTGAGAATAAGCAAGAAAAGATAATATAAACACAAAATGTCAGAGAATCAGGTTTCCCGTAAAAAGAAAAAAGAAAAAAAAAACAAAAGAAGAAGCCTCTTCATCTTGTGAATAAAATATTTATGAAAAAAATCAAGAGGAGCATTTGAATTCCAACTGGGCTCCCCAGGTGAGGAAGATATCAGACTCTCCTGGGGCAAAATTAATGGTTGCAACCACTGCTGACAGTAAGTGTAAGATCACACTGACTAGGAACAGACTGATCCGTAAATCAACAGGGTCTTAAAAGATCATGCAGGGAAAGAAAAGTGGAGAGAAAGGGATTTCCTATTTCAAATATTGTATTTTGTCCAAATAAAGTGGGAAGCAGGAATTATATAAATACAACAGACATACCAATCATAGCATTAAAGCAGTTGATTCAAGCTCTTCCTTCACAAAACATGACTATTTATAATAAGGAAGTGGTACAGAACCAAAAGCTGTATCCTATCAAAGCCATCTTTTCCTTGTCGTTCAAAGAACAAGAGTGCTTTCAAGATTAATTAGGATATGCCCTCTCCACAGATCATTTTGCTATCTTCAGCCCTTTTGTAGTGTCTCCCTGTTTCAAAATACCTGGCCAACTTCTCAGCTGATTTAAAATGATATGGCCATTTAAGTCAATGAGTTGAGGATCTAAGCTGACCAGTTTTATTTAACATTAACAGAACTAACAGAAGAAACAGATTATATGCTTTTGTATTTTATACCCTTTGCCTGCTGTTACACAAAATGAAACCACTAGAGTGAACTGTTTATTGTAGTTCTAATAAAGCTGTTCATATCCTCTACCCACCAAAGCTGTCCTAGCAGTCCTAAAGATACAGCAAATTGCTTTTCCACAGTGCCTACCAAAGGCAGCAGTATTTTTTTCTATGTCTTGCTGAATTCTTTTCAAATTTTGAGGGGAAGCTTGTACCTGCCCTAAGAATAGCTAATTTTGGCCTCTCACTCTCTTCTTAAAAAAAACAGGATAATAATTTAAATAAACTGTCCAACGCAATACAGAAGATTATGGATTAGAGTATATAAAACATTGCATAAAACCTAAGCGGTTTTACCTTTATTCACTCATATATAGGAACTCTCTAGTCATCCATTTTGCCTCCTCTTAGTCTAAGCAGGGTCATCCCTAACTAAACCATCCTAGACAAATGTTTGTCTAACTTGCACTTAAAAATTTCTAATAACAGAATAATGGAAGAATAGGTTGATTTTTAAAGCTAATTCTAACATTCAAGTGAATGTAGAACATAAGATTGGAAAGGGCTTCCCAAGCTATCAAGGTCAGTCCCCTGCATTTCCAGGCATTAATTTTTTCAAAAGGGTCCATAAGGGTGTTCACTCCAATTCCTCTCACAAACCACAGCTATAGAACACCCTAGGGAAAAAAGAGATGTAAATGGTTTACCACTGCAGTGGTAGGAATTTGTGAGGTTAAAATTTGCTCAGATAATCTTAAAAAAAGAGTTAGACCCTGCAGTACAGAGGGGAAAAAACAAAAAACAAAAAAACAAGAGTCAACCAGGGATCTTGTCAATGTGACCGGGGGGGTGGGGGGGCGTATCCTGACTCCAAATCTGGCTGTTTTGAAGTGAAGCAGGCTATTAATCATTGTGACGTGAATGGGCTATTTAGGTTAGCTCCTAAAAGCAAAATTATCTTCCCCATTGTATATGGCAGATTTTGAGTTACATTATCCTTCTCTTGCTACAAATGTGGAACTCTCTGTCTATCAAGGCATGGGTGGATTAGCAATGCCTTTTTAGGATGGATTAGATGGATGCAAATAGAAGCCTAGTGTCTAAGGTAATCATAAGGCTCCCATTACTGTAGTATCTGTAAAGACATTGCTGCTAAAACCCCAGTTTATAGACAGGAAGGCTAAGTGAGATTCAGAGGAAGAGTGAAATATCATCACAGCTGAGATCTCCAGCCAAAAGCAGACCTTATGTAGCCAAGGAAACTATTTTTAGCTCTGAAACTGTATCCAGGTTAGAACTAGATTAGTAACAGCACATTGCCTAACCTTCGAGGCGGAAGCTCAAGGCCAAGCCGTTTCAATGTCCCCAGCTGGGAATCTTACCCTTAGCAAAACACAACACTGTGCATACAGTGTGTAGTGGTCTCCTGGCTGTGAATATTTATGGCTGCATGAAAGGACAATATTTGAAGCAGGCTGAACTGCTGTCATGGGCAATAATGCCAACTAATCAAGAGTTCAGACAAGTAGCTTGCAGAGAATACACACAATTGTTCTTCCTCCTTCTGTCTTCCCCTGGTAGATTGATTTCACATGTCTCCTTTCACCCCATTCAGATTTGGAAGGGTGTTACATATTTATAAACATTACTTACACACAAATGATATACAGAACTATGGTGAATAAGATTCCAGGTGCTCTCAGGATTACAATGATCTCTTGATTAAAATAGAGGACTGGGAGTTGGGAGACCCAGGTTATATGCTCGCTTCTGTCAAAGACCTCCTATACAACCTGAACTGCATGCTCCCAGACAGAAAGCAAGGAGCAGACAGGCACATGGACATAGTGGCTGGGCACTTGCCAAGAGCTCCAAAGGTACACTGAGTGCACCAGCATGGTAACCACACAGGGGGTGGCAGGCCCAGAGGCATGCAAGAGTGGACCCCCTGCTCCACTGGAGTCCCGGAGCCAGGCACAGATGATGACAGGCCTGGCTGCATTCTGCTGTTATACCAAGTACTGCAAAGGAACAGAGGCCTGAACAGCCCAGCTAGGGATGGGATTGGCCACTCAGCAATGTGAGGGTAGTTCCCAGTCCTAGGCCTGCTGCATGGTCCCTGCTGCCCTGCACTCTAGTGCCTCCCCCTCAGCTGCATGACACACACCAAGAGGAAGCTCTGGGCTCCACTGCCACTGTGATCACAGTTCCTGGTGGACATCACATTTCCCGTAGGAAGGAAGAACAGGTACATTACAGGCACCACAGGCCCCATCTCCCCAGCTGGTGGCTCAGACCCACATGCACTCCCCCCAGAAGCATCAGATGCAGGTGACCATGGGGTTGGGAGCTGCCCCCAGAACCAGGGACAGCTCCCCCACCCCCTTGACCCGAGTCCTGACCCCTGTGCCCCCTGCCAGCCTAGGGCTGCCCCTGGAGACTCCTGACAGCACAGAGTTATCCCTAGTGTCCCCTACCAACCTGAGGCTGGCACCTGGGGGAGGCTGGAGCTCCCCCTGGCTGGTGCATGGGGGCAGAGCAGGGCAGGAGCAGCCCTAGATGAGGCTGCTCCTGTTGGGCTCAATTTGCTCCTGACCTGGGTGCACAGGAGTCTAATGAGTCCAAATTTACTATGCAGTAAATTCAGGTGCATTAACTGCATGTTTGATGCACCCAGTGGCATATAGAGATGAACTGAAGCAACTGATAAACTAAAAGAACTAGAAAAGGTTCAGGATATACTTATGTTCAAGGTTTCAGGGAAATGAATAAAAAGCCCACAGTACTACTTTTTGATATTGAAATATACAAATCTGATGTGGAACAATGGGGAAAAAAAAGCCTTTTAGCCATTTTTCTGTGTCTTTGTATACTGAATTATAATAAATCAAGGAGTGATTGTTTCACCTGCTGTAGATGTGTTACCATTAATGTTCTCACTGATCCAGCTTATTGGTTGGAAAAAAGTAGGTGAGAAGTGATTAGGTGACTAAGGAGACAGAGTAAAGAAAAGTTTAATTTTCAACATAAAATTATAGCAGCTACCTGCACCTCAGTAGCTTCACTCTGTAGGCTATCTAGTTCGTCCTGCTCTTTGTGAATCTTTCTGGAGTAAGTTTGAAGACATTCTGAAAATTTGGGTAGATCTTGATTTTGACTGATGAATTCTTGCAGTCTTGAAACCTAGATTACCAGGAGAGAAGAACAAGAAGTCAAAAACTTCCATCACTGAACCAACATTTGCTTATCTTTACAAACCTACAAAACTGATGGCTATAAGTTCATTGATTATTCTGGAAAAGGTACCAAATGCATTAAGAAACTACTGCAAGACCATTTCAGGCTGGGCGTAAGAAAGAACTTCTTTACTGTCCGAGCCCCCAAGGTCTGGAACAGCATGCCATCAGAGGTGATTCAAGCACCTCCATTGAACACCTTCAAGAGCAAATTGGATGCTTATCTTGCTGGGATCCTATGACCCCAGCTGACTTCCTGCCCTTTGGGCGGGGGGCTGGACTCGATGATCTTCCGAGGTCCCTTCCAGCCCTAATGTCTATAAAATCTATGAAATCTATGAAAACCTTTAGATAAACAAATAAATATGGTACTTATTATCATCAGTTCTTTTCACCATTGTATTGATTTAATTGGTAATGTCATGAAAACAAAGAATTTTTTGTTCTCTGATAGCTTGTTCATAACCTTCTCAGGAGAAAAAATGTTAAAAATATTCACATGTAAAAATTTCACAGCATAGTGTAAAAAAGATATACTCTGGAAGGTTTTGAAACAAGTGAAATTTTCCTAAGAGATTGGGGCAACATAAAAGGAACACGTTAGGAAAGGGCAAAAATGCATATCAGGGCCATGCAAATCAGTCTTCAAAACTGTCAGCATTTTTAAAGTTGAAGTACTTACCTGGATAAATAAGCACTTTTTATACCATGGGATTCTGCTTTTATTTTAACTAATTATCCACAGTCAGCTTCTCTACCCATTGTACTCCATTGGATTCATATTTTGACTAATGTACTCACTTGGAAAATGAATATTATTTAGCCCATTGATTATACATAACTGCTGCTACAGACGAATAAGCAGGGTTCCGATGCACCTCAGACATTTATCTTCCAGTTGACTTTATTGTAACTACACAATTATACATTTAAACAGTATTACGTTTAAACTGTGCCTTTAAGTGCAACCCTGAGTAAGAAGATGTGTAGAAGCCATGCTAAACCAGGAGCCACTGTGCACATCTACACATGCATTAATAGGCCGTTGTAAAGGTGCATTAAGTTTAGTACCTCTAATATGAAGTATTAACTAAATGCACAGTAACTGGCGCTACTGCACAGTAGTGCCAGTGCATGGTCTTTTCATGATGCTTAATGTGCAGTAGATTAATTCTACTGTGCATTAGCACAGCTTTTGTCATGATGCACTAATGCACAGTAGAATTTGTCTACTGTGCATTAAGCGTCTCATGTGGATGCACCCACTGTGTCATAGATACACCACTAGGTCACAATTTTCTTCTTCTTGCTTACTCTGAGAGTGGTGGTAAGTTATAAATGCAGTATGTTACTGCCTGTTCCATGCTGGCTCAGCTACCCTAGTCAGTGAACAGAAACCCTACTCTCCATTCCATTCCTTTGCTCTCTTGACCCCTTTGCTTCAAGGAATGAGCAAGCAGCTCTCCTTATCCCTACCATCAGATTTTTGCACCCCAGGAGGGTCATTCCCCACAAAGCATCCACCAAGGCAAAGTGGGTCCCCCTCTCAAAAGGACCTGGCTCAAGATTTTGTCCCACCTCTACCAAAGCCTCTCTATGCCATTGTTCCCAGGAGCCTGGAGCAAAGATCTGGGAAACACATCTAGATGTGTAAGGAAGGTTCTAAGTCTTATTTACCCTCTGCCAGGAACCCACAATTCAAGGCACAATCTAGTCCTGGTTGAGTCATATTTCTCACCAAACAGCTATCAAAAAATAAAAGATACAGTACTGTATGAATCTCAGCCAAAACAAAAAGGATATTAAGTCTTTATAGACATTTAAAAACAACCATTCCTCGTATTTCTGGGTATGTTCATTCCATATTCCCTTGGATGTTAGTTACAGACAAGATTATGAATCTCGTTATGAATTCTTATCAGAATTCAGATTCCTTTTAATATCAGGGTAGAATTATACCCAGCATACCTCAAGTGAGGAATCTTGAAGTTTCCCACTTAGGGCTTCTTTCTCTCTCTGCAGCTGCTTTATTTCATTCTCAGATTTCTTTCTTAGTTCCTCTAACTGTAGCTGAAGCTCCTAAAATTGAAAAAGAAAGAAACATTCTAAGGTGGCTGCATTGCTTCATTTCCAAGATTTGAGGCATGTGGACAGGCACCAAGTAGGTGGTGTGTGCTCCAGAGTGGTGTTCCTGTGTGGCACAGAGGCAGTATAGGCATGCTCAAAGAGTGACGTGACTTGTCCAAGGTCACTAAGAGGATGGATATACAAACAACTTATGTCAGGGTAAAGGAGGGTGAGGATTTATCGCATGTCACCTGCTTCACAGTAACTGCCCACATGCATGCTCTCACCCTGTGATAAGTAGAAGCTAGCTACAGTAGCTGAGCCCTCAGTGGAGGAGGAGTAAATTACCTTTATTTTACATTCCACTTACCACAGGTTATGTGGGTGCACACAAGCAGTTTCCACAAGGCAGCTGATGTACAATAAGATGCTGCCTTCTTCTACTCTGCCGTAATTTGTATGTCCCGTATCCTGAGAGAATAAGTGGGAGCACTTAAAATAATTGTCTGCTCACACCCAGCTCTGTCCCCTAGGTCACATTGTCGCTCCACAAAAGGTTGCAAGAATATCAGTAGAGTGCATGGGTATTGATTAATGAGATACAATGAGGTGCTGTCATACTCACTACTTTTATAAAAGATCATTCTGAACCACAGAAATGTAGGACAGAAAAGAACATCATGAGGTCATCTAGTCCATCCCCTTGCTTTGAAGTTTCTCATCCGTTTTGCTGCTCTCCCCTAGAATTTCTCCAATTTGTCTATATCGTTGTAAAGGATGGTGCCTGAAATTGGACACTGTCCTCCAGCTGAATGACGCGCAGTAATTATCTCTAATGTTCTGCATGCAACACTCCTGCTAATACATCCCAGAATATTTGCCTTTCTTACAACAGCATCACACTGTTGAGCTGTATTTGTATTGTGACCACTATAACTTTCAAATGCTTTTCTGCAATGCTACTGCCTAGTCATATGTCCCCTATTTTGTATCAGTGCATTTGATTTTTCCTTCCTAAGTGTAGCACTTTGCTCTTGTTTTAACTAAATTTAATTTTATTGATTTCAGACCATTTCTCCAATTAATCAATACCATTTTGAATCTCAATCTGTTCTTCCAAAATGCATTAGCATCAGTCTATTTATTTCAACTTATTTATTCACAATTTTGACTTTCTCACCAGACCACCAATACTTGCACTCTGGACCTAAATCTATGAGGTGTTAAAAATGCCCTCAAATTCTGTTGCTCTACAAAAAAATTTCAGAACTTTGCAGGATTGGGCATTACATTTATAAAGTGTATAAGCATTTATTGGATCAACATATTTGAACTCGGAAGAGCAGAGATCCATAAAAATATAAAGCAGAGAGTGGAATGTACAACCACTATACATTATTTCTTGGGACAGATTCATATTAATCACCCCAGTATCATATTCAGGCTTCCAAACTTAAGTGCTGCTAAGTACTCAGTTGACATACCAAGGATAAATTCACCTTCCTGTCTGTGAAGCTTTTTATAGAGATACACCAGCTCAACTCATGTTTTAAAAACATAGCAATAATATCTTTGCATTTTCCGGTAACTCACAGTACCTCCAATAAAGATGATTCAAATGATGCTACCATGACCAATGAGATTAAATACAAATGAATCAGACTATGTGTTAATTGAAGAACATACCTACCTTCTGCAATGTTTTTCTTTCAGCTTCCATGGAAGCTTGTACTGACTTGATTTCCAGTGTGTGTTTTTTCACAAGGTCTTCCAACCCCTTCACCAGCTGCTCCTTCAAACGCATTTTCTCCTCATCTGACTGACGTTTGATTTTGCGAAGTTCTTCTTTTTGCCACTGCTTCATATCGTCTTTCATGGTAGCTGCAGGGTCCTCAGACTATAAAACACATTGGCCTTATAACTGGACAAAATCAAGGTAAAATCCTGGAGTGTCTGTTGTAAAGGATTTCCTGTCCAACAGGGTAAATTCCATGGGAAAACTTTGGTTTTTACTTTTGTAAATTTTAATGGACTGATCCGGACTGTACAAATCTCTTACAGTTAAGCTTTTTCACACTGTTTACACTGCAAAATTGCTTCTGAAGCTCGAGATCTTCCCAAGGACAGTCCCTCATCCATGGAAATAGGGAGAATTTATTTTGTCCCCTGCTATGTCTTTGATAACGGGTGTATTTTTCCAACATCCAAGTAAACTGATCCATGAAGGGAGCTAACAGATAATAAGAAACTGTGTTTGAGTCGGCTAATTAACAGGAGACATTATGATAAAGGAGTTCTTAATAGGGCTAATTAGTTAGCATTAATAGCTAACAGCTCTTATTTTGGGGCTAGGCTACTTTTGGTTAAGATTCTAAATAAAATAGAACTGTTTACCCTTTTTATGTTAATCAGCATTTCAGCCCAATTTCAACGGAAGAAACTTGCAGCATGTTTCACAAAAAATTGTGCTACATATCTACTTTGGTTAGTTTATAAGGTGCAAATCTACCCGACCTTCAACTGAAGTCCCCAGAGCCACCCATGTGTTTGAAGCAAGCAGTAACGCATGTGCTTAAGTGCTTTTGCTGCAGTGTACTCAGTATTTTGCAGGAATGATTCCTACAGGTTTGATCCAAACTCCAGTGAAGTCAAAAGAAAACCTCCCACTGATTTCAATTTAGAGTCCCATGCCATAAAAAAGAGGGGAGCAAATACCTGGTTTGGCACCTTTGTATCTTCACTGTCTTTCTTGCCACTGTGGCTCTCTTTGGTGGAAGTCTTTTGTTGGAGCTGCACTATCTGGTCTTTCAGTTCATCTGCTGGATTAGCAGCTCTGCACTGGGCATTCACTATAGTTTCCATTCCTTCTGTGGTAGCAAGATTTACATTTCAAACACGTTTCATTTGTGGAATTGTCAGTGTAAATGACTCAAAAGGGCAAATGTTTGAGAGAGACATTAAATGAACTTCTTACCTGCTTTCCTCAGTATTTCATTCTCCTGTAGTATTAGCTTATCTTTGGCAACAGGTAGCTCCTCCTCCAGTTTTTTCATTGTACTCTTTGACTTCAGAATATCTTGTTTTGATTCCCTGAGCTGTATTTCCAAGTCCTGAAACACATGTGATTTCTCTGTTATGCCTATGGGGGATTTTTTAACTCCTAAAGATAGGTACCACCATTAAAAAGTGATAAGTTACCAAAGTTGCCATTCAAAGACAGAAAATATAGATTGGCAATACACATTCAAAATAATCATAAATAAATAGCAATAAATTTACAATAATTTAAACTAATAACTAATAAGTAAACATTAATTTTACTTAAGTAATAAGTAAACATTGATTTTACTTAAGTAATAAGTAAACATTAATTTTACAGTCCGGCCAAGCTTAGGCTGGCTACAACAATTAAGGACAATATAAAGTCCTTCGACAGATACACAGCAAGAAAAAAGAAAGCGCAGAGTAGCATAGGGCCCCTCCAGGACAAACCAGGTCAGTTGGTGGCTGATGCAGAGAAAAAGGCAGAGCTCTTCAATGAGTTCTTCGCTTCAGTATTCCTTAATACTGACCAAGACAATCCCCCCACCTTGAGCATAGACAGATGTCCAGAAGGTGCCAGACCACCAAAGGTTTGTGCTGACTTAGTTAAAGAGTACTTGGAAGGGCTGGATGGGTACAAGTCAGCCGGCCCAGATGACCTCCATCCACGGATGCTGAAGGAAATGGCCAGTGTCATTGCTGAGCTGTTGGCACAGCTGTTTGAGCTCTCATGGTGCTCCGGTGAGGTCCCTGAGGACTGGAAAAAGGCCAACATGGTGCCCATTTTTAAAAAGGGGAGAAGGGAGGAGCCGGGTAACTTTAGGCTTACCTCTATCCCTGGGAAAATACTAGAAAAAATCAAAGAGTGTATTTGTGAAGATCCAGCAGAGGAAATGATGGTGTGTCACAGGTAGATCCTGCCTGACAAACCTTATAGCCTTTAATGACCAGGTCGCACACTGCCTTGACACAGGAGCTGAGGCCGATGTCATCTACCTAGATTTTAGGAAGGCCTTTGACACAGTTTCACACCCTATTCTCATAGGGAAGCTAACAGGCTGTGGAGCGGACACCTACACAGTCAGGTGGGTGGCTAACTGGCTTAGGGACTGCACCCAGAGAGTGGTGGTTGACAGGTCATTCCCAGTCTAGAAGGAGGTGGGAAGTAGGGTCCCACAGGGTTTGGTCCTTGGGCTGGTGTTGTTTAATATCTTCAGCAGTGATTTGGACGAGGGTGTGGTGAGCACCCTCTCCAGGTTTGCAGATGATACCAAATTATGGGGCAAAGTTAATATACCAGAGCGCAGTGAGCAGATACAGGCTGACCTGGACAGGTTAGATCAATGGGGGGAACATAATAGGATAAATTCAACAAAGACAAATGTACTTCATCTAGGGAGGAGGGACCCCCAGCACACCTACAGGTTGGCGGATGTCCTCCTCAGCAACTCAGAGGCTGAGAGAGATCTTGGAGTCATAGTTGACTCCAAGATGAACATGAACTGGCAATGTAACGAGGCCATCAACAAAGCCAATTGTACCTTGTCATGTATTAGCAGATGCATGACCAACAGATCAAGCGAGGTGATGTTCCCCCTCTATGCAGCATTAGTCAGGCTGCAGTTGGAGTACTGTGTCCAATTTTGGGAGCCACACTTCAAGAGGGACACGGAGGATCTGGAGAGGGTTCAGAGGAGGGCCACTCGCATGATTAGTGGTCTCTGTGAAAGACCCTACAAGGAGAGGTTGAGAGATCTGGATCTCTTCAGCCTATACAAAAGACGGCTGAGGGGTGACCTTGTAGCTGCCTATAAATTTATCAGGGGAGGATGGCAGGGAATTGGGGATGCACTGTTCACCAGAGCACCCCAGAGAGTAACTAGGAATAATGGGTGCAAACTAGTGGAGAGTAGATTTAGGTTAGACATTAGGAAGAAATTTTTTATAATAAGGATGGCCAGAGTGTGGAATGGGCTTCCAAGAGAGGTGGTGCTGTCACCTAACTTGGAGGTCTTGAAGAGGAGGCTTGATAATCATCTAGCTGGGGTCGTTTGACCTCAGTCCTCTTTCCCGCCCGGGGCAGGGGGTTGGACACGATGATCCACTGGGTTCCTGCCAATTCTATAATCTATGAAATCTATGAAATTTAATAATAAAAAATACAGAATTTTAATGTACAGTACTTTTGTGGCATATCTTGCTATGGTTCCAAAGGTGTTATTCAAGTCCTCCTCCAACTGCTGCCAGGCTCCCAGTCAACCAAGCTGTAAATGGGTACCTCATCATTTGGGCTGGGATGACCAGATGTAAAGCTATTCCTATCACTTCCTTGTGTACTGCTGGCTACAGATTTGATACACCTTAACCATACCTAGCCTGGCTCTGGAGAATCTTTGACCATTGCCAATTGTTTCACAGTAGGACTGTACAACTGGCATCCCTGGCTACATGAGGGCCACAAAAGGTTAAATTGCAGCCCGCCCCCCGCAAAGCTCCTACTCGAACCTGTTCTCTATTGTTACAGAGGCAACAGAAGCTGAAGACTTCAGGCTCCCCCTCCCTCTGCCAGCTGCCACTTCTGCCCCTGCCCCAGGAGGTGAAGCATTGCAGCAGCATGAGGAGCTGAGGCTGAGCCTGGGACACATGGTATAGCACAGAATGGGGGAGTCACAGGTGTGCGGTGCAGTAGGGGTGGGGGAAGCTGAAGGCATGTGGTGCAGTAGGAGAGTGCCCAGTGTAGCAGTGGGCACAAGTGTGGGCACATTGGTGTACCACGGGGGTGTTGTAGACATGTGGTGCAATGGTGGAGTAGCGCCAGGGCTGGATTAATGCATAGGCAAACTAAGCACATGCCTAGGGCCTGAAATGAAGGAGCTCAGTTGTGCTTATTTTACATATTATAATTATTGAGTGTAAAAAAGTAATATTATATATAAAGTATTAATTAGGGGCACACAAGTTTGTTTGCCTAGGGCCCACTAAAGGGTTAATCCAGCCCTGAGTAGCATCCATGGGATGTGCAGCACAGGTTCCCATGGTTCTCCCTGGTGTGGCCTGCTGAACATACAGCCCCACACTGGTGTGGCCCCTAGTCTCTTGGAAGTTGGACAGTCCTGGTTTCATAGCATAACCTGTAATACAGGTACTTCAGAATACATATGAGCAGCTCCTACTCACTTAAGTGAAGGCTCCCTATACACAAGACAAAATTTAATCCTCATTCAAAGAACTATGGATGGTTCTAGCCTCAAACTTCCAATACGTCAATGTTTATTTAGGCAAAATTTTAATTGGCTTCAATGGGAATTGTATATGAGTAAGAACTCTAGGATTTGGTCTCTCAAAAAAAGTTATCCAACTGACATTTTTCATAAAGTTGGAATGATGTTGTAGCCATGATAATCCAGTGAGAGGCAAGGTTTTTGTGAGTGATTTTTTTTGGACTAATTGCATGGTTGCAAGATTTAGACAAGCTTTTGAATGCAGTGCATACCACAGACCTCTATTGGTCATCTCTAACATCTTTCATAGGATTTGGAAACACAAAGTATGGACAAGGACTTTACTGCACATCAGCTACTCTGCTGTAATGTCTTTGCTCTCAGCCAATCGAAAGGGAGTCAGGTTCAGATCCCCAAATCCAGAGTGGCAGAGTGCACATACTACCATGCATAAGCCTAAGGACCACCATGTATGAACTACAGAAAGAAGACACGATGGCCCTAGCAAACCAACACAAGATACAGGAGGTGGTGAGGAAAAGGGATATGGTGTTGCCCATGGACTGTCTCCCCAGTGACAGCAGCCAGGATCTTGCACAACGACCTGCAGAAGGAATACAGAGACATGGACTGGCAAGTAGCCCAGAGCAGTGACATAGAGAGTGGCAAAGAAGCCAACCACACTGCCCCAGAGAAACCTGCCCGTGGAAGGCAAAGACAACTGACCACCACCTGTGGTACTGCTCATATGCCAAAGGGATGCAGAGGAAAGTGTTCACACTCCTCAAGTTGGTGACGGGTCAAAATCCTAACCAGAGAAGCAGCGCTGTTTCGCACCTGTCCAAGCAGCAGGAGACCCAATGGTCCACTTCAACCAATTCATCTTCAGGAATTCCCTGTGGAAGACCATAGGCAGAAAAAGTGCTTTGGGAAAATGTGTTATCTTTATCAGACCAACTAAATAGTTGGAAAAATTGTTCTTTCCAAGTCTTCAGGAAAAGGGAGAATCTGCTGTTGTTTTGTGTTCTCCTGGATGAAACAGAAGCCAATGTGCGAAATGCAAGTCTGTGAAAATACAAATGCATGGCAATAAGGATCAGAGGCCATGGGAGACAATAGGTGTGAGACAGGTAGGTGGTGGGGAGGGGGAAAGGAAAATGTTGCTCTGGTGATAGAATGTAGCTGATAAAATGTAGATGTTACCTAGGGTTATTGGATGGACGACAGGTTATAATGTGCCATAAATTCAATGTCTATATTTAGTCCATGATTTTTTGTACCCAGTAGATTTATGAAGTGAAGTTTGTAGGCTCATCTACAAAAGGTGTTTTGTATGTTCCCTTTTAGGATTAAAACTAAGAAATTGGAAAGAGAGTGGTTGTCTTGTGAGAAGTGTGCACCACAGGTCATTGGGTATTTTTGTCTTCAACAGATTTTTGGTGTGCATTCATTCTGGTACACAGTTGTTTTATTTCTCCTACATATTTTTCATCAGCACGTTTAGTGCACTGGATGAGATATATTACATTTCTGGAGGTGCAGGTATAAGATCCAGGAATGGTGATGGTTCTGTTGTGGGATGTTGTGAGGTAGGGTGTCACTCAACAAGGACACTCCTCCAGAGAGATAGAACACACTTTTGAAAGAGCTACTAGGATACCATGTGAAGAATTGCTGCAGTACAAAAAGAAGATTCCCCACAAATTGCACACCATTAGTTATGACATACCATCCTTCCTTAGAACCTATATGGAATATTGTCAAACAATTACAACCCATACTAGAAGACCAATTCTTAAAGAGATCTTCCCAGAACCACCCATCCTAGCCTTTAAACAAGCACTGAA